ACATTTGAAATATATGAGTTTGTATGTAATGTATGAATATAATATACAAGTTTCACTTTTTAAATGGAATTACTGAAATAAATCTACTTTTTCATGATATTCTAATTTTATGACAAGCACCTGTATATCTCACTAGATCACCTTTGAGTTTCCATCATATGCAAGGTTTGATGGAAGCAGCTTTAACTCAGTTATTTCTCAACATTAGATGATCTTGGTGTAAAACTCTGGCATGAAAGGTGGCCGGCGATGTGCATTCTTTTAATGAATTAAAGACTTTTATTGTGATTGACTCAAACTGTAGCTTAGACAAATGAAACTAACATTCTCTTGTTTCTCTTTTTCCAGGGATCGTATCAAAATCCTTTGATTGCCGTCTGAAGGGCCAGGGGGCCTCCTTTGTGGAGGCCGATTCTGTGGATTCCCTTGTGCACAAGAAAGACCCAGCTGAGGCTTCCAGCCATGATGACTCTGTCCAGCAGGTCATCATCATCCAAGGTTATGGTGACAGTGACATGGTCATCGATCAGGCCCTGGAGGAGTCAGCCGCCGCCACCCTGCAGACTCTGGCCATGGCTGGCCAGGTGGCAGAGGTACTCCATATCACAGAAGACGGACAAGTCATAGCTTCTGGCAGCGAGGTGGCCTCTTCAGGTACCCACCTGGCTGGAGGCAACACCCAGTACGTGGTCCTGGATTCAGGAGATGCCMGTGAGAAGCTGCAGGCTCTGGCTGGTGGGGAGGTAGCCGTCACCACCACCGTTGCACAGAGCCACGCTGTTTCAGAGTCATCCACTGCCCTGGATGCTTTGCTAAGTGCCGTCAGTGAAATGGGCCATCAAGAGAAAATGCAGCAGGAAGAGGTGTCCATCGTTCATGAAGTGCTGGCCCCTGAAATGGCTGAGGAAGACCCTGGTGTCGCTGTGGAGGTGAAACAAAAGCAGGAGGAAGTGCAGGTCATCGAGGAGACTGACCATGAAGGCATGCAGGAAGTGTTGAAGCTGGCCGCTTCCCAGATGGTGAAGGAAGGTCTCACCCAAGTCATTGTCAATGATGAAGGCACCCACTACATCGTGACAGAGCTGGATGACTGCACCTTACAGGTGGAGGGAGGTGTGTATGGGGAGGTCGGAGCGGGAGAAGAGGCGGTGCAACAGGTGGAGCAAGGAGCAGGAGAAGAGATGGTGGTTTATCTGGATGGAGCTTCCCATAATATTGTCCTAGAGGGGTGAAGAAAAAAGAGTATCATTTAATTTACCTTTTTACCTGGTTAACATTCAAACATTAGTCGAAGTTTTTTCTGTCCTTTCCCTTCATAAGACTTAGTTTGTTTATTTTCCTGCATTTTGTTTGTTTCCTACAATCTTTATCAGTAATTACAAAATTCATGTTAAACATCAGTTATTCAAAGAAACAGAAAGAAGTTCTGGTGCTAATTTTACTCAAATTTTCAAAGCACACATCTACCATGTATTAATAACTCCACTATCTACACTTCCTTATATAACATCTTATCAAAACCTTCTGAGAGTTGAGAGCTGATGTAGATTCTGGTCTTTAGTGTGACAAATGTTTGTTTTACTTTTGTGTTTCTTGATTAAATGTCTGAGCATTGTTAATTTTCTTTTGCAGTGACATAAGAACAGTTATAAATCAGTTTCTTGATTGATTTTTAAACTTTTTAGCCTCACACTTTATTTTGCTGTAACAAAACTGCTACAGTCAATTTTTGTCAGCCTTTTCGCTTTGAAAAATGTCTAAACATGAAAACAATTTCATTTCTGACAATAAATTTTGAGTCTAATTTTCCCAAACTGTATTTGCAATTTATTTTGTTGGTATTAGCTGGTCTTGGTGAGGGATCAGACAAAGTACATCCCAAAAACCCTTTATGATGAATACTACCAGTAAAGAGAGTGTTCCCTCACCCAGATGCAGGTCACCAGGGCCCCCACTCTGGAGCCAGGCCTGGAGGTRAGGCACGCTGACGAGCACCTTGCAGCCGGGCTTTCACCCATGGAGCACAGCCTGAAGAAGAGATGTGAGTCCTCCTTCCCATGGCCTCGCCATTTGTGGGAGGGGCCAAAGGGGTCAGTTGCAGTGTGTAATCAGTGGTCAAAGGCAGGGACTGTGGCTGTCTGATCCTCGGCTACAGAAGCTGGCTCTAGGGACGTGGAATGTCACTTCTCTGGTGGGGAAGGAGCCCGAGCTGGTGTGTGAGGTTGAGAAGTTCCGACCAGATAGACTCACCTCAATTGGACTCACCTCGACGCACCGCTCTGGCTCTGGAACCAGTCTCCTCCAGAGGGGTTGGACACTCTTTCACTCTGGGTTTGCCCATGCTGAGAGGTTTGCCCATACTTATTGCCCCCATCTTGGTGTCTGTACATTAGGGTTCACCCTTGTGATGAGAGAGTAGCCTCCCTCTGCCTACATGTGGGGGGATGGGTTCTGACTGTTGTTTGTGTTTATGCRCCTAACAGCAGTTCAGATTACCCACCCTTTTTGGAGAGGGTGCTGGACAACACTCCTGATGGGTCTCCCTTGTTCTGCTGGTGGACCTGGAGATATGTGGTTGGGAGAAACAGGGTTTGATCTAACACTATTTCTCCTGAAATCTACAATCATCTCCTTTGTTTTGTTCACATTCAGGATGAGATGATTGTTCCCACACCATACCACAAAACAGTCCACCAGCTCTCTGTGCTTAGCTTCCTTTCCATCTCTGATACACCCAACAACTGAAGAGCCATCTGAGTATTTCTGTAGATGACAGCGGTCCGACTTGTGCTGGATGTCTTAAGTGTACAGTGTGAAAAGGAACAGTGAGAGTACAGTCCCCTGTGGTGCTCCTGTGCCGCTGACCACCTGGTTAGATACACAGTCTTTCAGTCTCACAAACTCTGGTCTATTTGTCATGTAGTCTTTGATCCAGGTGATTGTTGAGGGCTCCACCTTAGTCTTCTGGAGTTTCAGACAAAGCAACTCAGGCTGAATTGTATTGAAAGCACTGGAGAAATCAAAGAACATGATACTCACAGTGCTGCCTGTTTTGTCCAGATGACAATGGGTTTATTGAAGCAGGTGTATAATGGCATCTTCAACTCCACAGAGATAAGCAAACTGCAGGGGGTCCTGGTGTATGCTTTTTTGCTTACTCAGGTGGGTCAACAGGAGTCTCTAGGACCTTCATGATGTGGGATGTCAGGGCAACAGGTCTATAGTCATTGAGGGCTGGTGAGTGAGTTTTCTTTTGTACTGGAACCAGACAGGCTGTCTTCCACAATACTGGAACCTTCTCTTGGGTCAAGCTAAGGTTGAAGAGGTGTTGTAGAATCCCACAGAGCTGGTCTGCACAGGCCTTAAGGACTCTGAACTGGAACAAGTCTGCAGGTCCGGATGGTGTCAGCCCCCTGTCTTTCTAGCTGCCTCATACGGAAAAGTAGGAAAGGGAAGCAAATGGAGCAGCAGCATCTCCTGATTGGGTTGAAGACAAACATGTGGAAGCAGAAGAGTTCATGAATGAGGTGAAAGATACAGATATACAGTTTGACAGGAGAACTGTGGGTCAAAGGAGGGTGGTATGTCTGTTTGGCTGGGGGCAGGAGAGGAGGAAGATGAGCTTGTTCCTAAACTAAATTGGTTCAATAATATGTTCAGCTCATTTGCTCTGTCCAGACTTCTATCTGTCTGATCATCCATTTGTTTAAAGCCTGTGATCTTTTTCATCCCTGACCACACATCTCTGATATTGTTCCTCTTCAGTTTACTCTCCAGCTTCTTCTTTGCTTACTCTCATCTTGACTTTGAGCTGTTTCTGTATACTCCTCAATAACTCCCTGTCTCGCTCCCTAAAGGCTATTTTTTCTTGTATAACAGTTCCTTTAGCTCACTGGTGATCCAGGATTTGTTATTAGGGAAGCATCTTACTGTTATGGTGGGGATGGTGTTGTCCAGACAGAAGTTTATATAGTCAGTCACACACTCAGTCATGGCATTGACGTCATCTCCAAGAGCAATCCAATTTGTAGCTTCAAAACAACCCTGTAGGGGTTCTTCGGCTTCCTGTGACTACTTTCTCAYAGTCGTTGTAGTTACAGGTTGTCTCTGAACAAGTGGTTTGTATTCTGAGCAGAGAAAAATAAGGTTGTGTTCTGAATTACCAAGAGGAGGGCTTTGGAGATATACGAATCCTTTGCATTTGTATAAAACAAATCCAATGTTTTGTTTTCCCTGGTAGAGCAGCTGACATACTGTTGAAACGAAAGTGTAGCAGAGAGTGAGGCATGATTAAAATCACCAGATATTGCCACAAATGCATTGGGGTGTTGTGTCTGTATATTAGCAACAAAGGAACTGATGATATGACATGCATTGTCAACAGTTGCCAAAATAACGCTGGTGAATAGGATTGATGGAGGAGATGGTTTGAACTTCCTTCTTCTCTCTCGCCTCTTTGCTCCTGCTCTGCATCTATGTGGGGTTTTTTTCAGCTCTTGCTACATTAATAATCTGCTCTCTGTTGTAAACCACCCTGTACTATTACGTATCATAACAAAGAACAAAATATAAAAAATATCTGCAAAAATCAATCCAGCTGCACAGCATCCAAAACAAAAAGGAATGGCTGTTCAAAAAAAGTAACTTTNACCACACATCTCTGATATTGTTCCTCTTCAGTTTACTCTCCAGCTTCTTCTTTGCTTACTCTCATCTTGACTTTGAGCTGTTTCTGTATACTCCTCAATAACTCCCTGTCTCGCTCCCTAAAGGCTATTTTTTCTTGTATAACAGTTCCTTTAGCTCACTGGTGATCCAGGATTTGTTATTAGGGAAGCATCTTACTGTTATGGTGGGGATGGTGTTGTCCAGACAGAAGTTTATATAGTCAGTCACACACTCAGTCATGGCATTGACGTCATCTCCAAGAGCAATCCAATTTGTAGCTTCAAAACAACCCTGTAGGGGTTCTTCGGCTTCCTGTGACTACTTTCTCAYAGTCGTTGTAGTTACAGGTTGTCTCTGAACAAGTGGTTTGTATTCTGAGCAGAGAAAAATAAGGTTGTGTTCTGAATTACCAAGAGGAGGGCTTTGGAGATATACGAATCCTTTGCATTTGTATAAAACAAATCCAATGTTTTGTTTTCCCTGGTAGAGCAGCTGACATACTGTTGAAACGAAAGTGTAGCAGAGAGTGAGGCATGATTAAAATCACCAGATATTGCCACAAATGCATTGGGGTGTTGTGTCTGTATATTAGCAACAAAGGAACTGATGATATGACATGCATTGTCAACAGTTGCCAAAATAACGCTGGTGAATAGGATTGATGGAGGAGATGGTTTGAACTTCCTTCTTCTCTCTCGCCTCTTTGCTCCTGCTCTGCATCTATGTGGGGTTTTTTTCAGCTCTTGCTACATTAATAATCTGCTCTCTGTTGTAAACCACCCTGTACTATTACGTATCATAACAAAGAACAAAATATAAAAAATATCTGCAAAAATCAATCCAGCTGCACAGCATCCAAAACAAAAAGGAATGGCTGTTCAAAAAAAGTAACTTTTCCCCCAGAAAGGCAGGAAAAATGCCTGAAAGAATAAAATAAATAAAAAAATCAAAGCGAGCTACTCCAACGTGCTGCCAYCTTGAGAAGCACAATTCAAAAAAATTTTTTTAGACATTTGCACAAGGGGGCAGCGGTGCACCACCAACACTGTTTATGGTGGGGATGGTGTACTGCTGACCTCAGCTTTGGGACGTTGTGGGTCAATGGGCAGAGTACTTGGAAGTCCTCCTCAATCCCACCAGGACATCTTCCAATGAGGAAGCAGAGTCTGGGGTTCCTGGTTTCGGCTCTCTAATCTCTGGTGCTGAGGTCCCTGAGGTGGTTAAAAAGCTCCTTGGTGGCAAGGCCCCAAGGGTGGAGTTCACCCAGAAGTTCCTCCGGATGTTGTGGGGTTGTGTTGGCTGATGCAACTCTGCAATATTGCATGGGATACCGGGGGCAGTTCCCCTGGATTAGTAGACCAGGGTGGTGAAACCCCTATTTGAAAACCCTCCAGGATCCTCCAGGACCCTGCTGAAGGCCCGGGAGGGTACATGGGAGTTTGCTCAACCAGTCTACATGTGTTTTGTGGACTTGGAGAAAGCATTCAACTGTGTCCCTTRGTAAGTCCTGTGGGAGGTACTCAGGGAGTATGGGGTACCAAGCCCATTAATACGGGCTGTCAGGTCCCTGTACAACCAGTGTCAGCTGCTTAGAAACTGTGTCACTCACTTTCCATAAATACAAATATCACTGGCACAGTCAACCAGAGGCAGGTCAAACGTAAACAGTGAACTAAACAAGCATGTTAGATGATTATTTAACCAGTTCTGATTGCACAACAACTTCAGAATCCACAAGCTAACAAGTAGTATAATCCATGACGAGCTGTTTACTCCTGCAAACAGAAAGAATAATGTGACATTGCATCATCTTCTGCTCATGCATGTTACATTGACAGTATAAAGCATTCACACAGGAGTCTAATGAAGGTTGCATTTAAAATGTGAAAGTTGATGTAAAAATATGGTATCGGCTCTGGGTATCAAGGCATTTTTAACGAGTACAAGTACAGTACTTGTAAAATGCTTGTATCGGCCCAATATCCAATACTGGTATCGGTGCATCCCTAGTTTTTACACAATTCCAGTTAAAGTTTTATGATTTTTTAACAATTTATCGCAGAATATTAACTTAGTGTGATAATTTTACACACTAATTTTAGAGCTGTCGTTTCTTTTCAAATCTTTTTTTGCAAACTCCTCTTAT